ATGGTTTTATACTTGACTACAGGGAAGACTTCATTGAAGTCTATTCCTTCACGTTGGGTGTAACCCTTACTAAACCTGGCCTTGTACCTGAGGGGGTCAGTAACTGAAACTCCCTCTTTAATCTTGTACAGCCATCTCCATTTGATTAGCTTTTGATCCTTGGGTTTGGGGACCAAGGACCAGGTCCTGTTTACCTCAAGTGACCTCATTTCCTCTTCATTGCTTGCCTCCATTTTTCCCTTTCCTTAGAGTTCATGGCTTCTTCATATGAGTCTGGTTCTGTTCTTTGGATCCCTGTTCCTGCAAGCAAAGCAGTGTGATATAGTTCAGCATAAGAAACCTGGCAGGGGGTCTTACCTCCCTTCTTATTCTGTCTCTGGCAAGTTGATAGTGTTCTAAGTGTGCATGTTGGGGCTCTGAGGCATCTGCATCATTTTCTTCACTATCAGATCCAGGATCCTCTGATCCTGGTTGGTTTTCAGGTGCATGTTCCTCATTAGGTTGTGGTGGTTCAGCCTGCTGACCCACAGGCTCCACCTCAATGGTTGTACTCCAGTTGTATCTTTGGTGGATGGAGTTGGGGTGGTTGTATCAGTGTTCTGTTCATTGGTTTTACAAGGGAACTCTCCTTCATTAAAGACTACATCCCTGGAGATGATGATTTTTACCCCTGGTGACTTTCTGTCCCAGAGTCTATACCCTTTGGTACCCTCTTGATATCCTAGGAACACACACTTAGTGGATCTAGGCTCTAGCTTTCCTCCCACTGTATGGGCATAGGGTACACCCAAAGATTCTCAAATGGCTTAACCCAGGCTTTCTTCTCTGACCACACTTCTTCAACATTTGAAATTTATGGCAGTTTGAGGGGCTCCTATTTATCAGATAGGCTGCAGTGGAAAAGCCTCTCCCCAGAAGGTACTTGGTAACCCTGAAGTGAACAACAAGCATCTGATTTTTTTCCAGGAGTGTCCTGTTCTCCTCTCAGCTACCCCATTCTGCTGAGGGGTTCTTCTCACTGTCCTATTTCTAGGATTCCTTGCTCACTACAGAACTGATCAAACTCATTGTTACGTACTCTAATCCATTGTCAGTCCTTAGGGTTTTCACCTTTCTGTCTAGTTGGTTTTCCACAGGCTTTCCATTCTTGAAATTTATGCAGAGCCTGGTCCTTAGTTCTGAGGGTGTAAATCCACACTTTTCTGCTAAAGTCATCTACAATGGACATGAAGTAGCTACTGCCCCCATGAGACCTCACTCTCTCAGGCCCCCATAAGTCAGAGTGTATGTATTCTAAACAACCTTTGGCCAGGTGTATACCTTTTGGAAACTAACTCTGTGCTGTTTACCTAAAATGCAGTTCTCACAAAATTCTAGGGTTGCAGCAGTGTCTTTTCCTAGCATGCCTTGGTTACTTAGGATATCTAGCCCCCTCTGACTCATATGTCCCATTCTAAGGTGCCATTTTTGTGTTACTGACATATTTGGGCTGACGAAGAAGAACTTAGGCAATCAGAATAATATTCTCCACATAGGATGTACAATCCATTCCTTTTTTTCTCCTTTCAGGATTAGATTTTGGTTTCTATACACATTCCCACCCGTTTTCAGCTCTGTAACAGCATCCTTCTTCATCAAAGTTTCCTAAGGATATAAGGTTCCTTTTAAGATCTGGGATATACCTAACTGATGAGTTTTATTGTTTCCCACTACAGAGTCTAAGGGTTTATACTGCCTTTACCTTTGACTCTACAGGCATTGTTGTTCCCCATGACACGTCTCCCTATCATATTCCTCAAAGTCATGAAACCAGTCCCTATTGGGACTCATGTGAAAAGAACACCCAGAATCTAACACCCTTCTCTTGTATTGTCAGTAACAGAGACAGTAAGGACCTCTGTTTCTTCAGCTAAGTGTTTGGATGAGGCTAGGTTACTCTCTGTGTTTCCCTGTTTTTGTTTCTTAAGCCATTCAAAACAATTCTTTTTCAATGACCAGTTTTATTACAAAAAAACACTTTCTAGACTCTGCCTTATGCTTATTGTTCCATTTACCCCCGTTTCTTGTTTTTGGATCCCTGGCTAGGTTGATTGCCTTTACTAGATTGAAAGGTATCTAGTTTTCCCCTAACAACAGGTTGCTCCCACTCCGTTTTTGGACTTTTAACTCAAGTTCTCTAGCCTTAGACCAGCCACAATCAGGTCAACACTAGAACAGTACCGGAGTACTGTAGTGCATTCTTAACAACTAGATAATCCTCAGTAATGAGTTTAACAGATCATGGCTAGACTAGTCTCTCCTAGTTCCTGTTTTTGCCCTTTAAAATTAAGGTCATTTGTAAAATTCATCTAGGTTCTCCTCTATTGTCTTGCTACTATCCATTTTATAGAAAACAACGCACCCTTGAGAAAGCTAAGTTGTGCAGATTGAAGTGCATACAAAGTTTCGAGTTTACCCCATAACCCTAGAGGGGTTTCGATTCCATCAACCTTTCCAGTACGCTGTCTGAGAGGTTCATCACGATCAGATTGTAGGCAGCTTCATCAATCTCCTCCTTCTCCTTCAATTTCTCCTCAGACCATTTCTTTGGATCCTTCTCCAGTGCCAGGTGACTTTGTTATGTGAAAGCAGAGCCTTCATTTCTTCTTCCACCTCCCGAAATCGATCTTCCCATCGTATTGGAGATCTCCATACGTGTAGTGCTCATGATATTATAAGAAAATGTAATACTATAAGGATAAGTGGCGTTGTTACACCAGAAGTTGCCAAATACTGCCAGGCAGTTTTTCAGGCGGTCACTGTTTCCAGCCTATACCCTAAACTGGATAGACAATCGAAAAAGCCAGTGTAAGTACAGACTCACGTCACTGACCTAGATTACTCTCCTTTCACCATTGTTTGTGATCTAATCTCCACAAAGCCACCCCAAGACTCAGTAAGAATCACGTTCTAGACTCTAGGAACCTTTAGATTCAGAAACCCCTAAAATCTGAGAAACCCTAATTTTTCGAGCAAACCCTAATTTTCGATCTGTCAAAAATTGAACAGTTTCAAACAAGATTTCTCCCTATCACGATGGCTCTGATACCACTGTTTGCAATCAACCTATAAAGAAAACTGAACCAAACAGAAATCAAAGAGAAAACCACAATCACAACACAGAAACTTTTACCGTGGTTCACTTGCCCGATTAGAGCAAGCTACATCCACGTTGAACTCTGGAAAGAGAGTTCGCTGCACTATGATTAAGAACACCAGATTTTCAGTCTCAATTACAAGAGAAAGACACTCCAAGAAAACCCAGATCGAATAACACTTTCTAAACCCGTAATCTGCCCTAGGACTCCTCTAACCTGGAAATCCTATACCAAGAACACAGCAGTTCTTTCCCTTGATTGATTACCCCAAATCACTCAAGAACCCACAGATTACACAGAAGAATCAGACCCAAAGAAAGAACCCTAGGTTTTTACAAAAAACGAAGACTGCTTCTAAAACTCGTTATTCGTCTACTGTTACAATATGAAAACCCTAAACCTTTTATAGTGTTGACTTCGGCATGATCTCAGCCGTTGGCTCCCCTTCTGAATTCGCGGTCAGGATCACTCTGGGCTGTCTCAAAACGACGCCGTTCCATTTAACACAGTACGACGCCGTTTCAGCATTCACTTCACAACATCTCGGCTCTGATATCCAGTGTATCATCATCTCTTACTTTGATTAGGATTTATCAATTTTCCGGTTTGAAATAGAACCTCAGTACTGAGTACATTTCCCTGCAGTGAACCAGAAAAAATATATAGAAACTGTCATCTTGGATATACTGATGTTTAAGTTGGAGAGGAAGCCGATCAATTTCTAGAAGTCATACTTGCGACTAATTTGCTCAACACTTATCATAAGTTGAGGTAAATTAAAGTTTTTAGCAATAATGTTCAGTACTATATATATATACGACATTGGAGTCAATACATATTGTTCTTGAAGCTCTTTCTTATATGTACAGTTTCTGTCTCCGCCTGCTCTATGAATCTTTTTCTCAGAATTCTAACTTTTCAATTTTTTTTTTTTTTATTTTGATGATCGGAAGTGTTTAGGCCAACTTACGCGTACTTCAATTAATACCCCAGAATCTTTGAACTATCGGTCGAATAAGAGCTCCAGTGGTTAACCCTATTAGGAGTGGTGAAGACTCGAACTTGGAGATCACGTTAGATCTTTTACCATCAAAGAGACTCAAACTAGCGAGACCATATTAGATTCTCTTTTACCTTCAGGCCAACCCAACAGTGTTTTAGTTGGCTAGCTTTCTTCTACTGACAGGACGAAATCTACCATATTATCAATTCCTTGACTGCTTTATGGGAATCCAGGTCCACCTTCATTTTGGCTAAAGATATATATAAAGAGTAATGCTACAGTTACCGAAAAAGTATACCAAATTTATGCACCGAACAGATGTGTTACCATCTATTTTTTTTAAAAACAAAATTTATAATTAATCAATAGTCATGATGGTACCACGTCTATCAGTGCATGAGTTCGGTATCCCTTTTCTGGTGATTGTATCTTTTTTCATATATAAATTAAGGAAATTAGCTAGACACAGCATATTTTATTATTATTTCAGTAACTTTAAACATATATACAATATATAGTCAACTCAAAGTTTAGGGCAGTGAAGAGAGAGATATATATAATTTAATTTAACTTTTTTGCATGAATCCTCAGTTGATCTTGAACACTAGAATGGGAAAGATATTCTCTGATTAGTTATTGAAAATTTAAACATCAACCAATGGAAAATGCAGTAATTACAAGCATAATCAACAAATGGAATTGAAAAAGCAGAAATTAATTATCACTCATAATCATAATGACACTTTTGGTGGCCACAGCACCTCTTCCAATTGTGCTGCGACATTTTGATATCCCCACTACCCCTTTGCTTTAATTCTTTAATTAGTGCTTAAACCTTCGTTCTAATCCTTTAACTGCAATTTATATCGCCTCTATATTGCTTCAATCCTTCATCGTTCAGCATATTTTCAAGTTGCCAAAACTGGTATATAGTTTAAATTCCTTATTTATCTTAGAAATTAATTAATCATTCCAGTAATTAACAAAGAGTTAGTTGTGTTTTCTTTGCAGGGTTATTGCAGCTATCGATCAATGATGAAGACCTTTCTAGTACTCGTTGTTGCCTTCTTGTTGGTGCTGGCAACTCTGCAAGCTGATGCAAAAAGGCTCACTTTGGAGGACAAACAGAAGCTGATGATGGCTGCAGCGCGTCAGCTACTAAGCGAAACAAACACTGGTGCAGCTATTAATGATGCCAAAGATGCAACATCAAACAAGAACACTGGAAATACTGATGATGATGATGATGACGATGAAAGGAACCAGAGTTACAATCAGTACGGATATAGAACTTCTGAACCAAATCCTGATTCTAATCATGGCCATTATTATTGTTTGACTGATGGAAAACCCAAAAGTAAAGCTTGTGAAATATATTGATCTCGGAGCTGATATATATAAATATGGTGGAACTTGTAACAGTATGGATCAACTCGTGGGCCGATTAGTATGTGCAAAGAATATGATGAAATAAAACGACCTTGAGTCAGGACTAGCATGGTTTTACCAGTAAATCATGATGAATACTTTATTTGATAAAGTATATATCTTTAGTAAGTCGGATGTATGTCTATTCTATGAACACACTGATTTGATATACCACGAAAGAGGAATGTATGAACATTAGATAAACAACAAATTTTCATAGTAATAGAGGCAAAAATTTTCTATTCCTTACCCAAAAATGCAAAGGAATAGCGTGATCTCACCAATTACTCACAAGAACAAAAACAAAAACCCTAATTGGTTAACACAAGATCACGGCCAGCTTCTATATGCCCTTATGCCCGCAATTAGCTAATGATTTATCTTAACACTAAATCAGTAAGGATCTTCATGGAACGGGAAAGTGAAGAGATGAAGAAATCAAGGCAGTACGCAGGAAATATCAATTATCAGTTTGCGATTAATTGACCGAAAGAATTGAATATACAAGAAAACCCTAGGTTGATACCATCAACAAAACTCCTCTAGGTAGTTGAGTGGTTCGATAGAGACTTTTGGGTGTATTACTCAAGAAGTCCTGCATCCGAATCTCTCCTCATTTGCTAATGGGAATAACCTAAAGCTCTTAACCGGTCGGTAATTCCAATGTCCTAGAGGATAGTTGAGGTGCGTATAAACTGACGTAAACACCCCGATCGTTAAAAAAAAAAAAAAAAAAAAAAGATACCATCAACATCATTAGTGGAAGTTATTGCTTTATAATTAGGCACATACATCAATCACAGATTAATTAAACTAATTAACTTAGTCATACATAAAGGACAGAAAATAATAATCAACCATAAATGATGGCGCAGCTGAAAGACGAAAAGATTCACAATTAATGACAAAAGATTGCTTAATCAACCGTACACTATAGTTAACTTTGGGTGATGGTTTTCCGATATGTATAGACACTATCTCTATACTTCTCCTTATCAGTCCATCTACATGGATCGGTTTATATGATAATTAGTGTATGTATGTTGAGCTATTCAATTGATTTAACTTTTCCACGATTGGGACATGTAAAGTTATATGATTGCCTCTGAATTGATAACATGGTGCAGTTCTACTCAGCTCACATATCTGCGTAATAATTTTTAGCTCCTGCTTTTGACTATGATCTATATGATCTATCAATGACGTCCAGTTGAAAAGATGGCATATATATTAAGTACATGCGTGATCCGAAAGTAAGTAAAGAAGCATGACACTACTTCCACGATGGATATCAGAAGTTTAATACATATTCCAGTAGCAACAGTCTTATATCTTGGAGGAAGACGATTAATTTGTTGTAATATATCAACTAATCATATTTAATTAATCTTCTTTGCCAACGCTAATCATGAGATGAGTTGAAACTTCTTAAAGCAAAATTGACTATATAGGTTAGTGGCACCGGCCGCCGCCCAGCCGTTTTTATTTTCTTTTTAGGTTATGCTTTTTGTTGGCGTCAAAGTTCTACATCAATTAGGATGAGGGTTTAGGTCATTTATATAGCACAAAGGCATCCTCACCACCTAAAAACATCATTTTAGAAAAAAACGGTACTAGTCTCAGAGCCTAAAACGAATAATACATTTGGAAACTCACTTATCATGTGTTTGGATCCAACGGAAGCTCTGGACACCCTCACCACCCAGAGGTCGGCGGATATATGTAGCTACTTTTTTATAGACACTTTATATAGCACAAAGACATCCTCACCACTTGGAAGCATTTTTTTAGAACAAAACGGTGCAGGTATCAAGGCTTAAAGCGAATGATACTTCTAAGAACCCACTTACCATGTATTTAGATTCGACGGGGGCTCTGGACACCCTCACTACCTCGAGGTCGGTGGATATATAGCTACTTCTTTATACACTTGATAATACGGACATCAATTTGCTCTTTCTTTTTCTTAATTAATTAAGAGACTTTCAAGCATTGAATTATCTTGAGTCTTGAGCTTGCTAAATCACAAACTTGCATAAATGGATCCAGGTTGTTTAATTTGGAATGCAGTTCTTGGCTAAATTGAAGTGCATGAATGACTTTATGCCCTCTCAGCTGGAAACCAATGTAGCTTCATACATAGAGACGGCATTGCAATAATTCATCTCCAGTCAGCCTTGTTGCCCTAATTCAATATAAGCAAATACCGCCGCAAAATCTCGCCAACCAGATTGTACGTAATTACCAATTTTCCTACTACCAAATTGTTTGGCTTTGCGTACCCGTCAATTAATGGTTTACAGGACGTATTTTTTGGCCTCGTGCCACACTCCAAAACAATTTTCAGAAATTATCTAATTAGCTTGTTGCCAACTTCATCTTGGATTGTTATTGTCCATTAATAATATTAGTGCCATTCATTGACTTTGTAATTTGTATGCCAAAACAACTAGTGTAAAGACATTAATTAATGATAAAAGGGAATGAATTTGGTTAATTAAATAAGGATTATAGTATTATCAAAGAGTAAACGACGATTTTTGCCACCCAAGGTTTGGCCCAATGACATTTTTCCACACAAAAAGTTTTAAAATATAACTTTACGTACTATCCATGTTAAGATCCATCCCTCAAGTTTAATTGAAGAAGAGCAAAATAGTAATTTCAAAAAACAATTAAATGATGATTATGTCATTTTATCTCTTATATATAAACTTGAAAATAAAAACCCTATTTTTTCTCCTACTCTTTCTTCTTTTTCCCTTCCCTTTTTTCTTCTTCCTCTTTTTTCTTCTTTTTATTCCTTCATTCCCTTAAGAGAGAAGGGTATATTCATCTTTACATTGTTTATATCATGTCAAAGAACGGATTTTCCTAATAGAATATAACTATGGATGAGAAAAGTATCGTTTTGAAACATGACGGTTGAGAAAATGTCATTAGAAAGGGGGGAATCCGAACCAAACAAATTGACTACTAACACATAATTTATAACAAAGGTTTTGCTCTCTGTAGGCGAGGATCCCTGTATCATTATATAATTTATATGTAAAACAGGATAAATCTTGAAAATGGATCATTAAAATTACAAAAAATAAAAATAAAAAAATTTAATAAATTGTGGATCATCTTGATGCGTATTATTACATTAACTATTATATTTTATAGATTTTTTTTCGTAATTTTAATATGGTAACTCATAATTAATTAGTGGGACTTATATAAAACCGGATGTGAAATGATAAATTATGAACTGCCACGTCAAAGTTATGAGAAAAAATTTATAGCTGAAAGTTGTTGTTATAGTATTATTTGGTCTTGATATTTAACTGTTAAAATGTATGGAATAGAATGAGCCACGTAATCAGCACAGATGGAGCTCTACTGAGCTTCCAGCTGTTGATTTTCCCTATAAAAACCCAAAGCCCATGCGCATCAATCAATCAACTCATAGTAACAGAAAACCCTGAAGAGAGATGGATACATATCCCAAGTTTGCGCGTGAATCAAACCGCATCGTGACCGTCCGTTTCCTTCCGAATCCGATGGCGTTAGATTCACGCACAAACTCGCGATCTGTGTCATTAACCACACCTTATCATTCTCCTTTCCCTCCTTTTGGCGCCAAACTCTCGTCAATATTTTTATATTTTCCCTCTCTTTACGACTCTTATTAAGTTATATTTTCATTTTTTTTAAAAGAAAAAAAAAAAAGAGAGAGGAAGTAATCGGATCGGATGGCTGAGGATTTGGGAGATGGATCAACGGCTGAGATGGACGAATACGAGACCTTGATGTCGACGACCGACGTGGAGCTTCTCAAAACGGCGTGGCGTAACGAGAAAGCGGCTCCGGAGATTCTTCAATTTCAGGCTCTGTTGGTTAAGAGAGCTAGAGAACAGATTCAATTAGTGGTACTTCACAAATTTCAAACCCTAACTTCAATTATTTATTGTATTATCTTTTTTTCAGTTGTTGATTTGTTATTATAGATTCAATTAAAACTGAATCAGCGCTTATTACGTGATGATTTAATTGTAATTAGCATTTTTTTTAAAACTGATTTTATGTGGAAGCCTGTGATAACGTTTTTGTTGATGTTTTTGAATTGATGTGAATTTGTAGGAAGAAACAGTGGAGGAATTTGAAGGAAGTGGAATGGATCCACTTACTGTGTCACTTTACCAGATGGATTTAGACAGGGCTCAGTTTTTATTGAGATCCTATCTGCGAGTTCGGCTTCAGAAGGTAACAGCTAACTCGTTGTGATTTATTGTTAAGGGGAAGCTGAATCAACCTATTTGGTCTTTTATTGCATTTGAGTTTTGAAAGCAAAAAGGGGTAATTGATGTAAATTGTGCTAGGAAGACCATTGAATGATTTGACTTTCATATGTTATTTTTTTAAGAAGTTGTGTGTTGCAGATTGAGAAATATATGTTCTACATCTGGAAGAATGATAATTTACGGAACCGGCTCTCTGAACCAGAGAAAATTTTTGTTAAAAGGTAAAGTCTTTATGTATCTTATGTCCCTATTATGGAAAACATATAAGCAAGGGGTATTGAGTTTGTTATGTTGTGGATGTGAATGGATGATCACAGGTGTATTAATGATATGGAAAAACATCTTGAAGAGACTGTTCTGTCAAAGTTGCCTGATAATTATCAGTCTGCTAGAAGGCAATCCATAATCAGTGAAGAGGATGACATGGGTAACATTTCCAACTAATAAATTCCTCATATTTTTATTTGTTTTTCTAATTCATTACTGTATATGTGATTATATATGCTCTCTCTTCATGATTTTCGTCATTTGTGTGTGTTTGGATCATTGAGTGACTGACCCAATTTTTTCTGGATTTTCGGTGGCTTGGCAAAAGATGTTCGTTCTGGAATATAGTTTGTGTAGTTTGAAGCTTAATTTTCAATGCCAAAAGTTTTAACCTCCATATTGGACATTTTTTAAAATATTGTAAGGACACAGGTTGTTGATTGTTTTATGAAACTTTAAAGTTTTGATTTGCTGACTTGTACTTGGGCAGATAATTTTTTTGATGGGAAAATCACCTTTTAATATCCTTATCAAGAGGTCTCATCTGTTTCTACTTTGGCTACACAATTTTACATCTCATAAATCATACCACATGTAAGCTTGATGATCTCAATTTATATGTCTCATTGTGCCATGTTTTACAAGGATCACTTTCATGTTCTGCGTTTCATTGGTGCTATTCCACTTGATGTTGTCCATTGAATAGTGCTTTGGTCTTTGGTTTTGTGTATGTTTTCCATGTGTATCTGATTTCTATACATTGTTTGAGAAAATGAAGCTGCAATTGTACTAGTAGGAGCTGATGACCTCTAATAATGAGGTTGGAGTTGTTAGCTTTTGTCTGAACTGATCTATATGCATCTTTTATTGTTTTTACTCTAGCAACCTTCTTTTTGTCTTGTATGAGACATTGTCTTACAAATTTTGCTGAGCTCTTGGATATGGTGTATATAACTAGGTTTTAGACACAGCTTCATCTTTTCCTTTTCCAGTTGGTATATTTCCTGTGCTTTGGCAATTTTTACTGACTTCTGGCTTGGGTTGACTTACATTCTGCCTTGGCTTTGGTCATAGTCCAAAATGAATTGTTGCCATGAATTGTAAGGAAGGATTAATTGATGTAAGCTATGTGAATATTGATTACTCCTTTGTATTTGTATAATTACAGTGCCGGAGCCACAATTGGACACATTTGTAGCCTGCAAAAGCAGCAAAAATTTTGTGTCTATCCGGCTTGTTGACAGGTACTCTTACCATTCTTGCATTCAATTCATGAACTTGAAACAAAAATGTCTGATTAAATTTCATTTCAATCTGGCAGTGAAAGACCCTTGGAGATGGAGCGTCATGATGTATCCTTCGTGCTTTACAAGGTAATAGAGGATAAGATCGGTGTGGAGATTGATTTAGTTTGAAGAATACCCCGAGATCATGCATGCTGCAAATTGTACGAGCTGACCATAAGTTATACCAAAGCAGTTGTATTTGCTGTGTTTCTCATCTATACGAGCTGACAGTTTTATATGCCAAGATTTGTTTTCGTAAACCCTTGTGCTTAATGATTTCTATGGGGATTACATGATCTCGGATTCAAATTTGAAACAGGAACTTGGAATGTTGGACATAAAGCATTACTTGATAAATGTACGACAATTTAATCATTTGATTTGTAATCGAAAGATAATATTTTAAATTATTCAGAGGTCTTGTATTCGAGTTTCACTAGTGGATACAAACGCTCTTATCACACAAAAAAAAAAAAAAAAATTATGACTATTTCAAATTAACATATGAATTGCGTTTGAGTCTATGGTTGGTTTAGACATTCCGTCACCAAAACAAAAAATAATAATTATAAAATGTATGCTCATTTCTTATGAATAGGAGTCAGAATTTGAGAAAATCAAACACTGATTTCCCAGAATTCTATAATCTAACACTTAGTTTTATAAATTAAGAGAAAAAATGTATTAATTTTATTTTCTAAATATTATACGCCGACTTCTCTGGTGCAGAAAGCTGTGAGTGTTCTGGAATATTCTTTGAAAGAAAACGACACCGTATTTAAGTAAATTGTAAAGCTTTGAACGAACCCCAATAATATAGGAAGTAAATTATGAAGGCAAAAGCTGGCATCCAAATTCCAACTCCAAGACGAATCATTTTGACAATAACACAACAAGAAGATGAATTTTCTTGTTGGTTGCTGCGAAGGACAAACTTATACAACACGTGGAAAATTGATTGATTATTCCTTCTTCAATTTTAAGCTAATAGTACATCCGAACCCACGAAAAAAAAAAAAAAAAAAAAATTTGAAGAGTTGACCAACTAATTAACGTTATCAACAGCTAAAATCTTAAGCAAACCATCAAAAGAAACACCTTCATTTACATCGGCGCCGCCCAGTTTAATCATAGCCTTGATATCTTCATCACTAGCATTAAAACCAGCCCATTTCATGTAACTCTTCAAATCATCAACGCTCAATCTTCCATCTCCATCCTTATCCATAACCCTAAACACATCCTCCATAACCCCACCACCACGAGATTTAACACCGTTTCTTCTCTTCCCTCCTCCTCCTCCGTACCTCAAAACTCGTTCAAATTCGTCATACTCAACGTACCCGTCTTTGTTGAAATCCGCAACGGAGATCATGGAGTTGATAACTTCATCGTCCCCACCATTATTTTTACCATACCCTGCGTAAAACATTTTCAAATCCTCGCAGCTGATCTTACCGTCGTGGTCCACATCAAGCACGTCGAAAGCCGGCTTGAAATCTGACGATGTCATCGTGCCCATTTCTTTCGGCTTCAAAGATGTACCAGTTGGACACATTTTGGCTCAAACAACTCGAGAGAGAAAAATTAAAAGAAGAGAGAAGCTTGGTTTTAAGTTTTGGGGACTAGTAAAATTATGGAATCTTGGAGAGAACGAAGCTATATATACATATATATAAAGAAGTTAAAAAACACGTGACTTGGTTGACAAGATTAAATCAGAGCCATGAATAAACTTGGACAGTACATGAATAATGATGGGTGCCGTGCCATGTTGATGAACTACGTATGTAGTGACGTAAAGGCGTTGAATGGTCGGTCTAGTTTTTAGGATCTTTTTAAATCATTTCATTTATAGGGAGTGAAGGAGAAGAACAAGACGAATGGTAGGTTTGTCGCAGTCTTCTTTAACTCTTCGTGTCATAAGAAGTCAATAAAGTTTGAAATTATTATTATATAGTAATACTGTTACTACAGCATTATCAAGTAATCATAATAGCTTTAAAAACTCGTTCAAGGGTAGAGAATTCGATCAGATATATGTAAAGATGTAAACGGTAGACGATAAAAATCTACCATTATGGAAGTTACGAATCCTATAAAGTTAAAGTTACTAATGATCTTCTAAATCTGTATACACAAAGAAGTAACAAAGTTTACGGGGGATACCAATGTAGTGTCTATTGTACACTCTCATACTAAAGTCAACGAGACAATTGAATGACAACTAAGGTAGGAAGGGTCATCGGAATCTCATCTAAGACTTAAAACTACGATAAAGAGATTCTTAAGAGCAAAAACTTTAGGGGCAAGGAGATAGTATTGAGATTGAATGCATAATGAAAAGGCAAACCTCTATTTATATAGGCAGCTCAAGGGGCTTGAGTCATACTAGAACTTTGAATTCATAATAACGGAGTTCGATAAACATAAAAGTCTATATTTACGAGTAAGAGTTTTAATTCATGTAAGATTCGAGATTTTTGACGAATTAAGATGAATGTGAAACTCTTTAGGCGAATTAGGATATTGATAGGACTCTGAGTCCTTTGGAGCGGCCATGGGTCGATGGACTTGAATCCATGTGGGCTTGGAACAAGGCACAATTCGTAGAGTAGCACTGGTCGTAAAATGGTCCGTCTTGTTAAGTAACCCAATTCGTGGAATGGTTGACTTGTAGATTGGATCCAAGCATAGACCCAATCAGGGTTGAACCATTGGCATCAGGTCATGTAATGTTTGTATCGTGTTTGGGTCTGATAAGGACCGTTACGATTTAGTCCATACAATATATACATTATAATAATCCATTAAATTGACAACATAATACAAATACAACCTCTAACATTCTTGTATTTTCTAATGAGAAAAATCTTTAATCTTCAGCTTCACAAATACTTGGAATCTTTTATGAAAAAAAAAACAAAAAAAAACTTGGAAATTGGAATCCAAACATGTGGGAAAACTACGTTTTGGAGAAGACAAAAGTAAATAAATAGACTTTCATGTTTGGTAGCCATTTATTTAACTCATTACTTGTTCGTTTGTAAACGACTGAATGTGACATTGACCAGAGGGCCTTTTTAGATCACAAATATGAATCAGTGTTGTGTGTATTTTAGAGAACATATAAAATATTTATTTATTAAATAGAGAAAATATCTTTGCCTTGAGATAACAAAATAACCAATAATAATATATATTATACAAAGTACAAAATCAAGAAAGTTCTTCATCAATTGGGAAATTTAATTTTCAATTATAATTATCGAAATGAGAAATTTGTTTAGTATAAAATTAATGTTATGATTGAATAAGATCGTAATAAGAAATAGATGTTAAAAAGAATGAAAGAATATAAGAAATTAAGAATACCACGTATATAAAGTATGGTAGTGACGTTTCAACAATTATTTGTGTGCGATGCTTGCAACTTGTATACAGTATCAACTACATTATTTATTGTTGGAGGGAGATTTTCAATTATAATTATCGAAATGAGAAATTTGTTTCCTATAAAATTAATATTATGATTGAATAAGATCATAACAAGAAATAGATATTAAAAAGAACGAAAGAATATAAGAAATTAAGAATACCATGTATATAAAGTGTGGTAGTGACGTTTCAACAATTATTTGTGTGCCATGCTTGCAACTTGTATATGGTATCGACTACATTATTTATTGTTGGAGAGAGATTTTCAATTATAATTATCGAAATGAGAAATTTGTTTTTTATAAAATTAATGTTATGATTGAATAAGATCGTAACAAAAAATAGATGTTAAAAAGAACGAAAGAGTATAAGAATACCGCATATATAAAGTGTGGTAGTGATGTTTCAACAATTATTTGTGTGGGATGCTAGCAACTTGTATATGGTATCGACTACGTTATTTATTGTTGGAGAGAGATAGCGAGAATTATATGCCATTTGAAATTAAGTGCAAGTTTACATATTCTTAACATTAGATGAAGGTATCGCACTTGAAGATTGCCAAAGAATTTATTTAAAATTTGGAATAAAATAATTTTCATGAATTTTTTTAAATTAGAACTACCCTAGGTGCTCGGGTGGGACGATATGAATTCTTAGGTGTATTACTCTAGATATCTTGAGTTTGATTCCCCTCAGTTACTAATAGGGGTGATCACTAGAGGGTTTACTCGGTCGTTAACTTTAGCCTTGGGGGATTAGTCGAGGTGCACACAAGCTGGCCTGGACACCCTGGACACAAAAAAAACAAAGTTTAAATTAGATTTTTTAAATTTTTAAATATCCTAATCTTTTTAAGGGTTTATTGTATGTTTTTGCTCATTAAATCAATGGGTTGGGCTTCAAAGATAGGATCGATCCAATAAAACTTGGGCCTCTAATCCACTATAGATTTGGGTGGTGTTGTTTATTCAGAAATAAATAGGTGCAGTTGTAACAAGCGGAGTACAGAAGGAGATGTTGGTAAATTTGAGCAGTTATAAACTCTTTAAAACCCTAATTTTCCAATTGCCTGATCGTATATAAAGTCTTCAACCTCACCTCCTTTCGCAGAATGGTGTAGCTTAGCCAATCCAAGTGACAATCTTCTCTGGGTTTCTTTTATGTTTTCGTTTTTAATGGGTTTCTTTTTGTTTTTGAAATTAATTAAAGCCTCTGAAAGGGTTCTTTGTTTATGTGATTAGTATAGATTTGGGATTCTCATCTTGTTGTCTCAAGATTCAAGAGGCTTAGATTTCTGCAGGAATGTTGAGTCACTTCGCCTTCTAATTTTCTACAGGCGCAGTGAATAATCATCTTGCGAAATACCCTTTTCACTTTATCTAAATTTTAAGTATTTTCTCATTCAATTTACTGTTAGAATTTGTTTCTGAATTTTTTAGCTTGTGGGGTTCCGATGATGGCATGAAATCTTTGAGACCTGATTACATTTTGATGACAACTATAAGCATTATCTCTGAGGTCCCCTTGTTTCATTTTATATATATATATTTTTTTTTATCATGCAAAATTTTAAATTGGTAAATGATGAACATGCACTGGGCTCTGAGCAGTTATAAACTGTTTAATTTGATGCACATTTGCTGCCTAGAAAGCTATGTCTGATGCTTTACATTAATTCTGTTTTAAACTTCACTTCTCTGAGAGACAGTTTTATCTCTTGCTATGTTTATTAGGCGAGAGTTGATCAGTTTCATGGCCAAGCAAATCACTGGAAATTCTGTTGAAATTCTTTCTGAGAATTATCATTAAACGCTGATGAGAGCAGAAGCAACCTGAACTGCCCAGTGCCTATGTCGTTTTGAGTTTCGATAAGAACTTTGCTATAGACAAAATTGCGTTTTAATACCTGAAGTTTTGAAAGGTTTTGAGATCATAAAATAAAGGGAAAATTCATTGAAATATAAAGCAGAAAGAATAACGAAATTACGAATGGTGAATGAAAATTCTTCAAAAACAGAAACTAGAAAATGTGCATTAAACAGTGTCATATAATTCATAAGGTTATTAATCACAAAATAATGCCAAATCTGACAAACTTAAGTTCCTTCAAACCACCTCTTGGGTGGGCTGATTGAGGCATTTGGATGTACTGGCTTTGAAATCATTCTCTAAGTTGTTAAAAGGGATGGTCATGGGAGGGTTTATATGGCCAGGATACCGTGAAACTTTTTCTTTTAGCTAATATTCGGCGGCAAGAGTAAGATTAAATGACAACTTGTGTTTGTAAATTCTATACCGTTATCGTTACAAAATTGAAGCTTTTGAGTACATAAAGATTATGGACACAAAATGTTGAACATATAATCAGGCCATAATCACAACAAAATCTCTAAGCTAAGCAGTAATCATTCTAAACAACTCCGCCAAATCTACAAAAAGTTGCTGTAGTCAATTACATTTTCTTCTTTGAAGCTCCTGCCATTTGGTTTTTCGGCTTCAGCGAACAGGGGAGGAGAAGAAAATGACAAGAAAATATACAATAAATCCAGCCATAAGAATTCCTCCATATATTAAAGTTTGGGAGGACTGAACTGGATATTTGTATTCTATCTCACAGCACCTCATTTTCTCCTTCTCACTGACCAATACGCGATCTACATACCTGTTTCCAGACATCCACAGATTATTATAAAAATTGAAACAATTAACAATTCTACTCACTGCTACTTCAGATATGCAAGCACCAACTAAAAATAAAAGGGTGAAGCAAACTCATTCAATTGATTGGAGAATCTGTATTGCAGGCTAACTTACTGTTCAGTGAACATGGAACTCTGAAGGATTTCTGAACTATTTAAGTGCGCCTCATGTAGCCGGTGGTCATATAGCAAGGAAGACAGATCAACAAGCTGTTCCTCGAGAGTCTGTTATATGATCATACAAAAGATTACACATATCCAAAGAAGTTCAGACAAGCTGAGAGCAGTTAGTATGATTATGGACCACTTACATCTAAGTACTTCTCCAACCGATCAACTAATTCATGTGGGTAAGGTTCAGGCAGGTTAGTTGTCTTTTTGTAAAACTTCTCCAACCATAGGTCGGTGGTGGACTTGTTCTTCTTGCCCTTTACAGGCTCACCAAGTGGGGTTTTCAAATATTCTGAGGTAAATATTTGAACAGCCTGTAAAAA